ACAATTTAGACGCCAGACTGTCAATTTAAAGCTTCTACGTCACGTTTTCCACGGGCGTACTACGATAAGTTATATTATTTTTTAATAATATCGTGGTATTTTAATTGTTATTAATATTGAAACATTTGTTTTAGCTCCGTATTATTCAAAGATAATTTTTAAGTGATTTTCTTAAATTAAAAGGTGCTGTAGTTGAATGTAATGAGTGTTAAATTGAATTTGTGCGTTCCTTTTTAGTGCACTGACTGATCATTCATAACTCATTATCATGACATTAACGAAATTGTAAAACAATTTTCCAACATCATAGAAATAGGTATCGACCAATATATCCCAAAGAAGATAAGAGGTAACAAATATCCTGTGTGGTTTGTCGTTGTATTACGCAAATTGATTGTTGAAAAGAATAAGCTCCATCAAATATATCAGAGGACTAAGCTTCATATATCAGAGGACTAAGCTTCAAAGTGATAACAATACTCCATTAAAAGCCGCAAAGTAAACTTTCGAACTAACTGGTGTTACTTAATGTTTATTTCGAACTCCGAGCACTTAGTTCCACAAAACATAAAACATTTATTAAAAGTTTGCAGCGAGAGTACGGATTGCCTAATTTAATGAAGTACGGAAACTTATCAGTGATCCTGAAGAAATTGCAAACGCCTTCGCATCTTATTTCCAAACGTGTTATTCTACAGACGACTTAAACCGAAAAATTGATCTTCCCGCTGTGCCATTTTATTCCACTTTAGCCATACACATTTTCAGTCCTTGTGAAGTATCTTCTAAAATAAAGTCTTGACTCTAGTAAAATTGTGGGCCCTGATGGGGTACCACCATCGTTCTTGAAGGGGTGCTGTGACTCCTTGTCAATCTCACTTAGCCAAATTTTTAAAAAATTCATTTGATAGTGGAACATTTCCATCTGATTGGAAGTTTTCCCACCTTATGCCAGTTTAAAATCTATCAAGACTTCTTAATTTCCTCAATTGAAATGGTTACCAAGTTGACACCATCTACATCACAAAGCACATAGAGGTTCCACGTGAATGACCAAGGTCAAAACCGACAACTGACATTTTTTATGCTATTTGCTCCAAACTCTAGATGGGGCTACTGGTGAAATTATGATTTCTTACTCCATTTTTAAGCCTTATGGGAGAAAAACTTAACCAAAGACTCCAAAGATGTGACGTGTATTTATTTATGTTCTTGGTTAGTTTCACTTTTCCGTCTGATTTTGGTGATTTTTTGTTGGCTTTGGCTTTTGGTTTCTGTTTATAGTTTCGTCTTAGTTATTTGCAAAATTGTGATGTTTCGCTTTTTTATTTCCTACTGTGTTTTGCAATAATTTTGGTGCTACGTTGAAAACTTCGAGAAAAACTTCATTGATTCACCATATATTCACCATGCATCTGCATCATAAAAAGACAAACGGGGACAACAACTAATTGATAATCAATTTATCACTGGACTAGATTCCGAAATCATTTTTCACATAAGAGAGTAATACCACCAACTGTATTTGGAAGGAAAATACCTATTTATCATTAAATGAATAGTTAAAAGGATTCACCTTTTAATACAATACCTATATTACATTTGTCCTCAGTTAAAAAGACATTTATAAAATATATAACTTTAGTGTTAATAAAATGTAATATCCTAGTCTCTACTTCACATTTAAATTATTGATAGGTACCTATTTTAAAGATTTGAGATTATATATCTATTTGCTCCAAGTAAGTATTCGTTAAATATGTATTATTATTTGTATTTATTTTTATCTAATAATATTTATTTAAGTTATTAATAAACATATTTTAAGAATGTTCTATTTTATTATTTATTGATATATCTTATATTTATTTAATAAAAATATGCAGAACCAACTCTCCACATTAGACCCCCTTATAACAAATTAATTCTTCAAATTTGGTATAATCGACCTAAATTATTTTGTAAAATAAAAGTTTCGAACTTACTAGTTCCCTACTTTATTTTATAAAATAATTTATGTGGAAATCATTTAAAATTTAATTTAAAACTACTACCTACTCCTAAAAATTACAATTTGAATTTACCGCCATCTGTCAATTGTCATTTTAGTTCCAGCTCCAAACACAAGGTGGCGCTAATTTGGTTTAAAAGTTTAACATTGGCGTGGGGTCTCTAGAAGATACATGCTTTGTGATCTACATCGATCTGTCGAAAGTTTTTGACAGTGTCTGTCATGAATTGATACTCACGAAACTCTTCGAAATCGGTATCTCTGGTTCTTATTTTTACTGGATTAAATTTTATTTGAGTAATCGGTGTTAACGTGTTATAGTGCATAATTCCGTATCATGTGACGTTCCTCAAGGTTTACATATAGGTCCCCTATTGTTTTCCTTATTCTTTAATGATGTTACGTCCTGCTTTCTTAATAGCCAATGACCTCTATTCGCGGATGATAGTTTTTTAGTAGAAACACTGGTAATAACTCCACATTATAGTCCGATCTAAACAGGTTTGCACCTGGTGTAAAAATAACTATTTCTAAGTGGACAACCATGCATTTTACAAGCTCCCACAATCTTACTCTTAACTGTTACACTATTGACAGCGTCATCCAAGATATATCCTCGACAATTATTGATCTGGGGACGTGAATGATTCAAAAGCAATCATGACACTTTACAATGGCCTGGTGAGAAGTGTCGTGGAATACTGTTCTGTTATTTGGCAATCTACTTACACCTGTCATATCAATAAAATTGAAAGGGTGCAACGTAAATTCGTAAAATACCTGCTCTTTATGAAATAAGATTAATGCTTTGCGGTATGCAGAGCCTGGAATGCAGAAGAAAACAGGCTTTACTTATTCCTAGCTAAATTAATAGGTGGTTCTATCAAGTGCGGGTCACTGCTTGAGCGCGATCTACTATTGGTTGCTGCCCGACGGACTCGGCACACATCACTTTTGAATGTAAAAAGACACAACCAATTACGGACAAAGTGCATTTATTGATCGCTTATGCAAGAACTATAACAAATTTTACTCGGACTGTGATATATTTAATTGTAATATTTTGGCGTTGAAAAGGGACTTGCAACTGCTGAATGTCTTACTCCTATCGTCCCGCGGTGTTGTGTTATTCTTCCTTCTTTATATTTTATATATATTTTTTAATTTATTTTATATTGTTTTTAACTCCTACAATTGTTTGTCTTAGGTTAGATATACTGTACTATTTGAAATTTTACATTATGTAAGTGCTACATAAATAAATGAACAAAAGGTTAAAAGGTGCTATTAATTAGTATAGCTGTCACATAGTAAGTATTAAATTTTTAGCATTCAACTAATAAGTAATATTGTTTTTGGATAACAAATGATAATTATTAGGTTACCGAAACATTCTTTTACCATGAAGCATTTTTTCTTAATTTTAAGTTTTGAGGAAAAAATTATACGGGGGAGGGGTGGCACATATAGCGTCTATCCCTGGCGGCAGAAACACTACGTCACTGCGATGCCACGTTCAAAATGCAGTAGTTTGATTCTTAAGTATGACAGCAATACGCTAGTTGGCCTCCTAACGATGCTTTTAGGAGTTTCCTCGGCGATCAAAAACAAACTACTGTGATTAGTTAAATTGAAATTTGATAAAAAGCGCAAAATTCGAATTAAGAAAATTGTTCAAATAAAAGTTGTTTATGATATCATTCTCTATAATTCTTGTCATTTACATAATTTCTCTAAAAATGGACCGTATTCGAGATATTTGAGAAAAAGTGCACATTTCAAATTTTGAAGATCTCAAAAACGGATGAGGAAAACAATTTTAAAATTTAAACTTTAATCCTCCTGTGGTGAACAAACTAAATTTTGGGCACAGTCGGAACATCTGGGGGGTATTTTATAGAAGGCCGTTTTTTTATTTTATAGAATATATGTTATTTACGCTTGGAGAGGAAAATTCTTCAATTAAGTTACCAACAAGAGTACATAACGTATGTAAAAATCATCAAAAAATTAGTTTTTGGACAGTAGTGTAAAATTTAGAAGGGGTGAAGGTGTTACTTACCTATGTCGTACACCATTGACCTGCTGACAGGTGTATCTAATGACACCAAAAATGTTTATCGAATTTAGTAAAATTATAGTGAGTAATAAATAAATTATTATACCCATTGATAGTTTTTGAATTTTCAACTTTAACGCCCTGTATTTCAGAAACGAATAACATTTTACCTACGCATGTTTTGTTTAATCGTCTTAATTTTAGTCAGAGAATTATCAGTTGTTCTATGTCCCATTCTTAATTGAACACCTTGTAGATAAAGAAATACTTTTATTTCAGATGCAGTAATAAAAATTAAGGGAAAATGACCAATAAAAAGTTTCTATAAAAAGGAAGGGAAAGGAAGCAATAAATAGATTATTATAACATTTACAAGGTATTTTGGTTTTAAATAAATATTATTTTTTTTAATACTGTATAATCAAAATGAAACGTCATTTGAACGTATAGTATTTCTATCAAAAACGGTTCAATAGACGTCCATTGGTCACTGGATCAACAAAAAATGTTTCTACATTAGACCTTGGAAAAATTCAGGCAGGTAAGAGCTTTTTAAGCGTCAGTTTGACTTTAATTCAGAGTTGTGCGTAGTTATCACCAACATAACTCGTATTTTTGTCTTTATCAGTCATGACCTACTTAAGAAACATTTTTTTTGTGGATCACTCTTTACATTCATTGCGTGGACGTGCAATGACGAAATATAATTTAGAAAGATACTTCCCCTGGATGTCCAAAAGTGTATGCCATCATCAAAGTCCAGGAAGGATATATTTTTGGATGTATCTGGAATGGATGTCCACTGAACTGCTTGGAATAATAAACGTAAAATGTAATTCCAGTTATGTGGGTCACCTCTCGTTCATTCAATCAAATCATTTAAAATTAAGCAAATTAGCCTATAATGCTTTAAAAAAAAACTATCAATTGCAGCTGCGAGATTTGTATATTTCATTTTTTTTAAAATAACTTAAAATTCACCTATAAGGTGTATTAAATAACGCTGTATAAAACTACAAGTATGAATCAAGTCAAACTTGTAAAATTAAAAGAATAAATATGATACATATTTCAAAATAAAATGCAAGATGAACTGCTAATTTATAAAATTTACAACAGTTTTTGTTCAATATGTCAGGTAGCTAATTACAATCTTCCGGCTAAAATAATAGAAGATAAAAATATATTCTTATACATTAAAATTTATATACAAATATAATAGACTTCATAAAATATAATAATAAAACTTATGAAATAAACGTTATAATCGCTTCAGCGCATTAACTCCTAGTGAAGACGATTTCATTTTTCGAGTTGGTTGTACGGACATCGGCGCTACTGGTTGCGTTTGATTGGAACTATCGGTGTTACCTAATTCCTGTAATGAAAAATGACTCAGGTCTAATTTACGGAACAAACTTATTCATAACTTTTGTTTTGTAATATAAATTTCATACAAGTGTTTGATATTGACATGCGACTAGCATGAAAAAATATATTGCTAGCGAAATATCGATATACACATTTCGATATATCGGTAATCGGTACCCTAGTGAGAACTTTTGTCCGCGCGATGAAGTCGGATTACCAAGAAGAAAAAAAAGAAAAATACCTAAAAGAGACTGTTTATTGACAGCTGACATTGTTTCAACCTTTAAGTGTAAAAAAACCTAAACTAAAAGGTCTTTTTTACGTTATGGGTATAACATGGTATGTCAACGGCAAAAAATAAACGAAAAAACAGCTTCTTTATGCTGATTTCTTGTGTCATTAGGGTCAATTTTATTTTATTAGGTAGGTTGCATTTTGAAAATGTTAAAAAAATCTTATATCGATATATTTAAAATATCGATATGTTTCATTCGATATATCGATATATTTATATTTTTTGCCATCCTTTTTAGGTGGAGAAGGCGAGAATTTTGTCATTTCGGTAACTGACATTTAGCATCTCAACAATTGAGGACCCTGGACCTGGAGCAAGAGTAGTATATGTAAAATAAACATACTTTTGAGATATGGAGGTTTTATATCACTAAAACAAATTTAAAAAACATCTTATATACTGTAATTATTTACTTTAATCGAATATTAATATATCTTTCTTCAGTCGGAGTAAAAAAAATAGCACGTAATATCTTGGATTTTTTTTTTAACAAAAAGTTATACATAGCACATTTTTTACGAAGTAAATTCGAGTTTACTGTCACCGCAAGTAGTAGTGAGTTGATATTACTAATAAACAGAACAGTTTGCTCTGCGACCCTCAAGTGCAAATAGAGAGCACACAAAGTAACCTCACTGGAGGCAATATCTCTAGGCGGTCGTATACGTGTGGGGTAGTACCTAAATAAAATATAACATCCACTCCCTAAGCGGTAACCACCTTGTACTTTTACCCTAAAGGTGATCCTGGACGAGCTAGACAAAATGTTAGGGGTAAAAGAAATACAGGAAATGTAAATATAATAATATATTTCAAAACGGTAGCCTCGGCGGGACAATATCAAACCCAAACAATAATTTACAACAAATTCTCCACAAATAAATAATAGTGAAACTTATTAGAACGGTAAGACAGATGCCCTTAATACTTTCTGACTCAACAGTATAAATGAATCTTCAAAATGTTTATAAAATTCCTACAAGAAAATAGTAAAGTTAAAATAATAAATATACAGTAGTAAAACGGATGTTATTAATATAATAAAGATGAAACGGTAAGACAAATACTCTTAATGCTTCGGAATTTCTGACTCAACAATATAAATAAATCATCAAAAGGTTTAAGGAAAATAACTTAGCGTGCGAAAATAATAAAATCGTCGGTTAAAAATAATTTAAATAACACACCCTGTATATACGTAATTTGAAAATTCTGACTCAATTATCGGTGACAACGGTATTCTCAATGAAGGCTAGGTGATAATACAACACTCAATGTGGCAGGTATAAAATTATTTGGAGACGTCGTGTCGCAAAATGATTTTTACTTTCCACGGGAGAAATCAAAATTACACAAAAACGAAACCAACGACGACTGTGACTGCAATTAGAGTAAATATAGACGGATTTGAAGGAATTCAGTTTGGTTACTATTAAAGTTAGGAGGCGGTTTTAAGAAGTTCCATCGTCGAAGCCAGACCGCTATAAAACAAATCTGCGTTCTCGTACTAAGGTTCCGAAATTCTACGCATGATCCAAAATTTGGTTTTAAATAAAGTTTAGAAGTTCCTCGAATTATAGCAAAGGATTTCTTTGCGAATATTACTCAGTGACGGTCGATCAGGATAACAATAAAAAGAAATCTAGACAAATATGAAAATTATAGTAACGCACAACCTACCTTAAATATTCTACAAGTGGTGATAATCAAAACAGATTTTTTTTAAACACTTGGTCGCTCGGTATGGTCTCAAAAAGAGAGGTCAAAAATTATCGGCAACAAAGAGAGAAAATGCTCAATGAGAGCTGATTAAATACTTTACACTTGGACCGATACGGTTTTCCAAATGGGACGAGTGAAAAAAATTTTCTTTTGACATTTGCGAAATTGACTCAGATAATTTACATAAATTTGAACGTATAAGCTGTTTAAAGCTTTGAGTAAATATTGAAATATTTTGTTCAAAAATATATGTACATATATACGGGAGTTCTTAAGAAATGTATTAGGCGGAAATTAATTTAAACTAAACATTTTATAATTAATTTAAAGGAAATTAACTCAAATCAAACACTTTTATAAATAAATTAAAGGAAAATTAAGTGACTTTGTTACAGGTTTGGTAATACTTCTTCATCTAGGGTTGCCACCTTTTTGAAAAGGGAATAAATGTAGGGTTGCCAGATTTTCGAAAAGGAAATTTCTAAAAAACCAGGTCTTTCTGGCGAGCTTTTTTGAAAAAAAAGTCCTATCAGTTTATATTTTTAATAAACCCTAGGTTCTTTTGCTGAGCTTCTAAAAAAAAGGTCCTCAGCTTTTATTTTTATAAAGCAGGTCCTTTCTAAAAGGACATTTAAGGTTTAAAAAGTCACAAGGACAATTTGTTTGAAAAAGGGAGTTCTTTTCAAAAAAGGACAGGTGGCAACCTTATCTTCATCATTAATTACTGATGCACTTTGCGAACAAGAAGATGAGACAATCGAGAATATTTTCTATGATTGTGCGAAGCTCCCGTTTATGGAAGATTTATGATCGAGAAGGTCTGGCTTACACCGGTCACCTTTCAGCGACATTGTCAACTGCATCAATTCTGTAGGCTGGCTATCAATTTCGATGATAGTGAGCTCTAAGTGCCGTGAGGCAACCCACCATCCACACGTTACAAATACAGATAAGTGAAGATATGCAGGTACTATTTCCGAAGATCGTTTTACTAAGGTAAATTCAATCCACATATTGCCGGTTACTATTTCCTTCTGTGATAAATGGTAATAAATCCCTAAGATATACGTATTAACGTTAATAATACAGTTCACTAGTGTTGAGATATGGACTGGTAGCGTTCTACTTTAATTAAAAGTTAATAAAGTATTAATGGTTTCTTCTTGTTCCAAAACCTATTTTTCTATTTTATTTAAAACAACAGTGTTACAATATTTCAGACAACGCGAAAAGTAAAATAAATCACTTTTGCATTACATGTATCACCTTTGAATTGAACGTATTTACCTAAAACAGTGGTGTAAGTAACGCAATAATATAACATAGATCACTTTACCTTCACGACTGTAGAAAAAAAATGTTTGGCTCTAAAAATATGACAAAATAGTAAAGTGAAAAACTAGTCTTTTATAATTCGTCGCTGGAAAGGCACAGGGGCGTAAGTCGAAAAATGTCCAATTTGAATTAAGGCTACCACAAATATGTTAAAGTGAAATATCTATATAACAAAGGGGTGTATCTTTCCTCATTATAGTTAACATAATGGCAAATGAAATGCACTAATATGCACAAGAAATCACTATACACCAACAGTTTAATTACGTCTCATGTAAAATAGCTAAATTGGAGTTACGCCTCTTTGTCTTTCCAATGACGAATTATGTATGGTCACATACCGCACTATTACGCATACGTAGTTTGGCATTAGGATCCCAAATCTACCCTTAATTCAATTTTAGCAAAAATGTTACATACAATAATATTGCTCCAAGGCCCCAATTCTATTTTCTTTGCTTGTCTTACCAAATTAAAAGATTTAGGTTATATATTTATTTTAATTTAAATTAAAAATAACGCCCTTAAAATTCATCAGTTGTTGTTTCGATTATTTTACCTATTTTTTGTTTCTTCCCTTACCAAGCATCAGTGCAATCAAAATATCCCACTTGGGCATAAATATTTACATATATGCACAAATCTTATAGAAATTGGACCCTGGTAAAATTGGCTGAAATTTGGATATGTTGTTCGTTTCGGCATCCTAAGCAAAAGTCTCAATGGGCACAAAGCTCAATTTTGCTTATTTTGGCTCCTACGGAGCTCCAAAGCTCCACGCATTGACCATTATTTACTACTTAAAAAGGCATCTCCTCGAAAGTTTAGTATTTGCACACTTTAAAAATGGTTATGATTGTATTGTCTATAAAAATATTTGAATTTGAATTTATTATAAGGATACTACAAATTTGCTTCAATTTCATTAAGGAAATTAAGAAGTTTCTTTGGTCAGCCTAAATCGCAGTGTAAAAGTAATCGTTTCTTGTATATATTATTTTATATTCTTTGTAGTATCCAATATTAATGAGTTGTGTTGCTCTTATGCTAAATTTTTAACAAAGAATAAATAATGTATTGTTGTTTTGTTTTTTTAATTGTCTCAAAATATAAATTTTGGCACTTGTCACCTTTGTTACCTCCACTCTTCAATTATTGTAGCTTTGAAAATATATGTACATAGAGGAATATATTATTTAAAATTAAATTATTAAAGCTGTATTAAAATATTTATGTGGTTAGGGACAGTTACCGAAATGACGAAATTAATGTTTATATCAATATTTTTAACTGAAAATGTAATCGTATTCCTTTTTTTTTTTTTTTTTTTTTTTTTTTATATAAAAAGAATAACGTTGTCTAATCTGTAATTTTTTGGTTTTTATGTCTTGGGGATATGAAATACCTTAGAGACAAAAATCGAATAGTTACGTGAGAATCACCCAAAAGTGCCTCAAAATTAGGACCATAACCATATATCTGGCGCCAAATAGTACGTTCTTTTTTAATACTTTATTACAATAAGATGGATGTAAGAAATATGCTAAGTTCCAATCATTTTATGAGCATTTACTAAAAGGCGAAAACCGAAAAGAATTAGGTGGTGTTAGATGAGAAGAGAAAACCAATATAGCAATGTCTTATTATTGTGAAATCTGTTTTTAGGTAAGAACTTCCAACTTTGTAATGAAACTACTTCAAAACACTTCAATAATTCAATTTTATTTTCAAAATGAGCAACCTCCATTTATGAGTTTCGTAACGTACAATATCTAGGTTTTTCAAAATATTTCTATGATAACGAACTATTTTTACTATAAATTTGTAATTACGTTCTTAGGGCAATTAGAACTGCTATATAGTTGATAAAATCAATCAATGACATATTTCTGCGTTTTTTTCATTTCCTCAAAATTTAGTAAGTATGAAGACTCTACACTTTAAAAACCTCTCATTTCTCAAAAAATATAAAAAACACTATTTTACAAACTACTTTGTGTTAACCTACAAATATGTCGTTACGCCACTGATTTATCACATTTACAAAATAGCTCTATGATGATATTTTCGCATATACTGCTGTGACACATCTGTACTCTTCTCTAATAGAACAGACTTTATTAAAATATTTGTAGTCAAACCTGTATAGTATGAAAAAAATAACTTGAAATTTAAAATCTGATTTTTGCATTTTTTTGGTTCCTCCAATGAATTATATTTAACGATAAGGGGGTATTTCCATAAAGCGCCCCTTTTCTATGTGTAATTAGGTATCCTCAAGTATAAAAAACGCATTCAGTATTTAGGAGGAATCTTAAGGAGTCAAAAACGCAATGGTCCTACACTTATTATGTTCCGAATCCATATACCCATATTCACTAGAGTTTATGATAATGATTCGATGAATGAAGCATAAAAAAGTGACTTAGATGGTTAAAAAATGGCTCCTCGTTTCGGCAAGCCTTCAGCGCCGTGGAAAAGGTGGATCACGAACGACAGGATATCAATTAAAATAGTCGTTTTATTTGAACTATAAAAGAAACGTTGGGATCACCAAATGTTTCGCTCAAGATCGAAACTTTACCAAAGACATCTTGAAATCCATGAAAAAATATCCTGAACGGCTCTAAAGGGTTATTTCTGGCGATGAAACATGATTTTATGGCTACGACCCTGAAACAAAAGCACAATCTTTACAATGAGCGAACCGTGTACCGTTAGCAACTGAACAACTGCTGGATAAGTAGGGATACTCCTTAAGACCCGTCCCAAATACTAAATGGGCAATCACCGGACGAACGAAATACTCACATTAATATTACTGTAACTGGCTAGCTTCATTTGAGCTAATTGAGATGCTGGAGTGAGATTCGTTGAGCTGCCAAAAGGCGACATCATCGATGATACTGCCCTTTTTAGCTTTGAGGGGGTTTTATTAAACGAGAATGCGCGGCTTACTTTAAGTCTGGTCGTAGCGAATTTGAATGCTTTCGAAAGTGTGCCATTATTTACATCACTGGTCTCTATATCAAGCTGTTGTGGTTCTAAGTACGCCATGAATTTATCCTAAAACAAAAATTGCAATTAGTGATAACTAATTCAAATTAAAAATATGATTAACATTTTATTAAAAAAAAAAAAACGTAAATTAAAATATTATTTTAAATGAAATTGTGTTATTTAATGAAAAATCACGTTGCGGGTAATAAACCTATATATTCGAGAAACCAAAAATTGTAATATTGATCCAAATTTACATTTTTTTATTTATTTTTATTTATTTTTATTTATTTTTATTCACTTCTATTCACTTCTATTCACTTTTATTCATTTTTATTCATTGTTATTAACCGTTATTAATTTTTATTGATTTTTAATCACTTTTATTAATTTTTGTTAATTTTTATTAATTTTTATTAATTTTTGTTAATTTTTGTTAATTTTTATTAATTTTTATTAATTTTTATTAATTTTTATTAATTTTTATTAATTTTTATTAATTTTTATTAATTTTTATTAATTTTTATTAATTTTTATTAATTTTTATTAATTTTTATTAATTTTTATTAATTTTTATTAATTTTTATTAATTTTTATTAATTTTTATTAATTTTTATTAATTTTTATTAATTTTTATTAATTTTTATTAATTTTTATTAATTTTTATTAATTTTTATTAATTTTTATTAATTTTTATTAATTTTTATTAATTTTTATTAATTTTTATTAATTTTTATTAATTTTTATTAATTTTTATTAATTTTTATTAATTTTTATTAATTTTTATTAATTTTTATTAATTTTTATTAATTTTTATTAATTTTTAGTTTTAACAAGTTTTAACAAATTTTAACACGTTTTTACAAGTTTTAACAATTTCTAACAATTTCTAACAATTTTTATTGATTTTTATTTATTTTTATTCACTTTTATTTATTATTATTAACTTTTATTAATTTTTAAAAAGTGCTACTCCAGACTATAATCTATCTTTATGCCATATTTAATCCTGATCCGTTCAGCTGTGATTGAGTAACATCCATCCATTCACAGCCATCCACATCGATCCACATCCATTTACATCCATACACATCTATCCATATCCATCCACATCCATCCACATCCATCCACATCCATCCACATCCATCCACATCCATCCACATCCATCCATCCATTTATTGACTCCCTAAATTATCTCCAAAATGGTAAATTTGGCAACGGCGCTTTTCCGAGTGACAGTATGTATGACAATATTCGAGATACGTCCCTATCAAAAATTATCTCTGTTTTTGTCGATCCATTTAATAGAACACAGTGCAGGTGAACACAAACGATATGTTTTCACAATGAGCGCAAAATTTGTCATAAGGAACGTCGTTTCGCGTTACTACACCTGCAAAGAAAGTCAAGCGCCGAGAGCCGAGACTAGACGAACTTTTAACACGAGAATTGTTTACAAAATATACTTATATTTAAAAATACGCAAAGAAAAGGAATTTTAAGAAGATTTAACACTGAAAAATTAGATTTTATAATGGAAAATAGTAAGTACTTTAATAATAATTTCTTTATTAACAAACAATATTTTCTTGTAGCAGTGATACAAGGACATTGTTAATAATTAATTTTTTAATCAGTGATTAATTCAATTTTTAAAACAAATTTGTTGCTGTTTTATTTTGTAGAATATCTATTGTTATATTTGTACTAACAGTCAAATTACTGTCAATTATTTTAAACTTTTTTTAATAAAAGTAATTATCTAAGATTGTGAACAAAATTTTAATCTTACCGCATCCGCCGTACAAGCATTATTCGCCATTTGTCTCGTCAACGTTTTCAAAAACGTCACTTTATCGGCCTCTTCGTCCGCCATCGCAAACGAATACAACCTCTCCTTCAAATCGTCGTTATTCCTACACACCAAACTGAAAACCTTTTGACATTCTTCCGTCTCTTTAATATCTATCACACGTTTGATAGTATTCAGAGCCAATAGTTTGACGTGCTTGTAGGGTTTGCTGAGCTGCCGATTCTGCAAGGAACCACCAACAGAAACACCCGCTGTCACCGTCGAAGGACTCTTCAGACTGTTGAACGCTTTCGACTTTTTCTTGCACACCTCCAACTGATCGGAGAACAGAAATAGTACGAGGTTGTTGCCTTTGCTGGCGAGCCCTTCGGTCGATGATATCTGAATCACTTCGGTTTTCGCAATGAAGTTTCGATGAGACGAGACTATGCCTGGCTGTAACATATAGAGAGAAAAAAAACAACAGTAACATATTGACTTCATGAATTAAGGATGTGATTTGTTAGCTAGAATTATTAAGTTAAATTAAGATGTTTTATAATCATCTTTCTAATATTTATTTATTTTTTTTAACGTGCTTACCCTCAATAAAAAAAATGAATATAAATGGAATAAATTTTTTTTAAGCTAAAACTTAAAATTAGTTGACTGATTTGTAATAGAACATATCCCTTCAGATCAAGTTTTATATATTTTTAGTGTGGTTTAGTGTTAAAAATGCATTTCTGAATTAAAATACGCGTCCTTAGCAACATTGATAAGCCAGTGGCTTTATTTTTCAACTATTCTTAAATTAATTTATTATATTATATTTTATGTTTCTACTATATATATATTTTTTTTTATTTTCATTTCATATTTAGTTTTATATTTCGAACTTAATTGTTATTATTTTGAAATTTAATTAATGATAAAATCAGTTAAAATCTATTTTTCTTCATTATTTTATTAAAAGCATTGTGCTTCTTTTTATATTGTACTTTTAGGTTAAGACCACAGTACCACCCCCAATATTCGTAACATGAACTAATTTTGACAGATGTCATTTATGTGTCATAAATTAAGAATCCTTTTGTTCAGCAGATGGAGCAATATTCCATATTTAATAGTTCTTTTGTTCAACAGATGGCGTAATAATTTTATTAATTTTAAACTGTAACTGTTATAAAATAACAAATTCATCACGCGATAATAAGTAAACGAGTACTTGACCTTGACAAATATTTTCGATGTAACAGGTATAAAAATAAAAGTTTGGGATTAAATTCGACACATCGGTATATTTACTTAGGACCGATTCCACCGTTGTGTTAAACGGAGTTTAAAATGATATTTTTACATTAACAATGTCATTTTAATTTAATTTAATTTTATCTCATTTATATGTAAGTTGGCGGCATCGGCATACGGAAAACGTTTTTAAGAATTTTAAGAAAAAAACTTATTTTTCATAAACAATTGCAATTTATAAACAATTTTAGAAAAAAAGTTACTTCACATAAAAAGTTATGCATGGTCTAAAACCTAAAATTCAATCATCTGATAACAAATGTTATCAGTCGTATACAGTGTTTGTCGAAAATAAAGGTATTTTATATTGAGCAAAATTATATTTTTTGACAAACCTTGTAAAACAGACTGATAAAATTTGATATCGGGTGGTTGCATTTTCTGTTAGACCATGAAGAATTACTTTTTTTCGTAAAATGAATACCTAATAAAAAAAGTTTTCTATTTGCTATCAACTTACATAGACATACTGTGTGTATGCAACTATGACATATTGCTGAGCTAATGTTTTCGTAAGAAAAAAGAAATTAATCATAAAATTTTACTTCATTTGTAGTCGTAATTTATGTTTTCATATTTGTACTTTTTTTTATCAATTTAGAATTACAGTACTATTTTCAATTATTATTTTAGATTAATCAATAAGAAAAATAAGTATTTTTTTTAAATATTAATAACTTAATACAAATTAAACAACAAATGAATAAAAAAGCATTTAAAACACGTTGACTGCCGAAGCAAATGTTGTGGTCGGGTCTGCTGAGCCGAAGTAGTTTTTCTAAAAATTTAAGTCTGTTTTTACGTTTTAAGAGCAAAGTAGTTTAAGTAAATACTCAAGTAAACTACAATATCTAATAGAAGCGTGAATAAAATATATAAACGCGGCGCGGGATTAAATTATTACATTGTTCAATATTTTAATTTGTGTTGTAGACAGGTAAACAATTTCTAAATAAAAGTACAGGGTAATCCATAAACGATTGTCTGACCAAACCTATACATTTTTAAAGCAAAACACCCTGCAGATAGTTATACATATTTGACTGTTTTCACATCGTCGAACAATAATTTCAATTTTATTCATTTGCTATGTTGTGTGTCAAAATGGTCACGATTTTCTCAATTTTAGAATGAAACACCCTGTATGTTATGCCACCAATTAATATAATATTCCATTGAAAAAAATTTAAACATTTGTAACCTCGCGTGTTGACACACCCTATATATAACATAGCAAATGAATGAAGTCAATTAAAATTATTTGACGACGTGAAAACAATCAAATATGTATAACTACATGCAGGGTGTTTTGATTTAAAAATGTATAGGTTTGGTCAACATCTCGTTTATGGACCACCCTGTATATATAGGAATAATTTTTAAATATGGTCATACAACTTTTATATTAATTTTTTTCTTATTTCCAATAATAAAACAGCTATCGATCAATTACGCACTGATGGGACACTCTGTATATATGTTATTCTCTAACATGTTAGTATCGTTGGATATGCAAATTTATAAGGAATTGTATGCTAAAATATTATATCGGATGTTGCCTTTGAAAAAATAGAGTAATTTGACTTAAAAGTAACCATATTTAAGACACATGTTTCAAAACACTCGCTATAAAAGAATCCAGCACTATCACTACTATTCGTTATCTTAATGTGCTATAAGTCAGTGTATTAAACAATTTTGAAATCAATGCAATCCTACCTAAATTATGATAATTTAATTTGGGGTCTGCATCATTCTCTAATTTTATAAAAATTTAATTGCTTGGCAGACCTGTAATATTTTTTAAAATTATTCTAGGGTTGAATAACAGTATTACCAAACCATTTTAAAACTGAAATAAAATACATGTTCTATTTTAAAAATATGCCAAGCAAAAATGTAACACCCTGTATATATCCAAAAATATTTTTAAAATATGTATTTTTTAAATCCATATAACTTTTCTTTGAAACATGTTTGCGTGTCTTTAACATAAATTAAAATATTGAACAATTACGCACTAATGGGACATACACACGGGTACATACACATAGCAGTCAACGTGTTAACTCAGAAATATGATTCCTTATAAAGATAAAATAACATTCAGAAGAAGAAAGCAAAGACCGCCAATATTACGTGCGTATCATATAATGATGCCAGGTCATTCGAATTTAATTTACACCGGAATGCAATAAAGTTCCTTCCCTTTCCTGCATTTTACAATTGTATATTTCACCCATTTTAAAATCAAATTCGTCCTAGAAAGAATTGTGAAATTATCGTATAAATCGATAATCTGGCAACGTGGTCAACACTTGTTTATACACAGGCAAAATCAATCGATAATTTGGAACCAAACGAGACAAATATATATGAAAATCACGAAACAATAAAAGACGGCATACAGCTGTATCACTGTTTCAAAAATTGGTACCTCTAAACAATCATTTACCTATTAAAATCACTTTTTATGATTTTTTTTAAAATTCAGTGTATAAACAGGACAAATAAAAAATAGGAGATTTCATTCTCCAAACCTTATACTTTAAGCTGGTAGAAGATTCATTTTAATACATTTAGCGGGATTTAAATGCAATCGGAAATGGTGAACCCTTGCTTCTTATATGAAAAATACGGTGATACTGCGGCCTTAAGTGTAAGAATATCATGTAGCTAAACTGCGCCTCTTTGTACAATTTATTAATAAAGACGATTTATTTTTGTAGTTTGTACAGAAAATAGATAAGAAGGGTGCAAAAAAAAATTATAAATCTAGGTACTCACCGGACAATTGTCTATATCGTTGAAAATATTAAATAAAGTAACTTGGCCTTCTGCTTTCCTCTTATCTTCATTTATGTGAGTCATTACCTCCCTTAATGCCGCTAAAGCTTGCTCTAATGCGGCATGGTCGGGATTCGTTTTCGATGTATTTTTTAACATATCTAGAAACAAATATGTACAAAACAAAATTAATTAATTTGATTGAAATATGAAACAGGCAAAAAGGAAAGTCAAAAAATATCGAGGAACTATACATTTTATATGTTATTCCTCCTATCCTGAAGCAGAGAGATAAAAGAGAAAACCATACTATTCAGCAAACTATTAAATATTGTAAGATGCTAATTCATTTAATTAATAATATAAATCGACCACTTTCGATTTGGCAGAAATATTTTTTTATCTTTTCCATTCTATTGAAAACGTTTGTCAAAATTTTCTCAAAATTTTTGATCCAACCCAAAAAAGTTACAAATTTTTCAAAAACATTGCTCTTTTTTAAAAATATTTATAACTTTTTTAAAATTTGATCAAATTCAATGTTTTAAAATAGAAAATGTTTGGGTTAGTAAAAAAATTAAAAAATATTCTGAAAAACCTTTTCAATAAAAAAAAAAAGCTTCAACCAAATTGAAAAAAGTTGGGTTCAAAAGTGGTCTATTTGGGATGGAATGCTCCATATATAAATTATGTTGAACTATAGAGAATAATGTTATGGAAACGAACTATTACCATTTAACAACAAACTAATGCTACCAAGTCTTTGCACGGGCCTAATCATTAACTCCTGCAAACTCTGCCTGCCACATTCCGGCCTAGTCTGGCACGCTTTCAGGAAAGCATGAAACCTAGGTTTATTTTGATCACATTGGCACAACACTTCTTTCATTTCTTCGAAGTAATTTATAAACGGTGGATACGCCCTTTGCAATTCTGTGGAGTATTTGACAATTATGTTCCCGATGCTGTGATCTTCGCTCCAATGAGCAGCCGTCCACCTGATTTCATCTAACATTTTTATATGAGTTTCGTAGATGAAAGGCAGCTTTCCGAATATGAGATTCAACTCTGTGTTGTTGAGTAACGCTTCCTGTTCGGGCATCTCTTCCAAGTGCTTCTTAAACATCTGCAAAACAAAAATAATATTCACAAACTAATTTTTTATTAAATTTTTTGAAAGTAAGCTCTTTATCATTAGGAAGATTTAATAATAAATAATTATATTTTCGGTTATTTAATAAGAAATAGATAATCAACAAGTTATAAAGTATTTCCAAGATAATTCAATTTCTTTCTGGTCATAAAATAAAATATTTTTGTTAACTTTATAATAAGTAAATGTCTAATTAATAGAAAACGAGTTTGGTTTCTTACAGCATGAGTTACAAAATAAAATAATCTCTAAAGAAGTTGAAATATTGTGTTTTTGACATTTGGCAAGAGTGCCTAATGTATGTACAAAAACTAATGACACCAATTTTAGCATTTCATAATGGTTTGAAATTGAGTATTATTGCTACATTCATTTATCCACATCGGATGATGTGAATGTTGTGAATCTTTGATCACACGATTCTAGATACATCAATGTAGTTGAAACAAATGCTCGAGATGTAAAAAATGCATTGGATGTCGATATTTAAAAGTAGCAAATAAAAGATATGTAGAAATGAAGATTTATGATATGATAATATATTATACTCTGTTTTTAAACTAAGAGGAGCGATTTGAACTTAAGTTGGCAATTATGTAGACTTCTGATTGGTCAGATTGCAGTAGGTTTCACACATTACTTTTTAGCTGATAATTATTATTGTTGACAATTCTATTCTGACATTTTATATTTTAAGTTTTGTTATTGCTTTGATATCTTATCATTATTACTTAGTTTTTTATTTTATTTCTTTAATAACAGTTTTTTTCAAAACTTTAATAAGCAATTGTATTGAATTTCTACGATTATGGATCCTTCTACATCGAAAACTAGTATAGTAGTTCCTCGCGGAGTCCATCAAAACAATGAAAACGAATGAGTTTAGGCCATTCAAGTCTCTCAGAAAAGCAGTAAATAATAAATATGTACAAATAGATATTGGATAATAATACAAAAACCAAAATTGTTGATGTTATATCCAAAATTTCTAAGCCACCGGTAAGTTTTACTCATTACTTTCAAATTAAAAATAATATTAAATACTCAACATTTTTCTCACAAGTATTGCAAAGTCAACTACTTACCGATTATTGAAATAATACCGCAATAATAGAACAATACCTAGTCCAAAAAGTATTTATGGATGACGAGGATTTCTAAAAACATTTGATGAGAGTCTAAATGCTATTCAAGATTAGTACACAATTTCTTTTTCAAAAATGAGTTATTTAGATTGAATAAATGAGATTTGCCACAAATATATGATTCATCATCTTTATATACTTCCTCGAAACATAATAACTAAGTTTGTAACTTTGAACAGTCAAATGTACTGTTTACTTATTATGTATATATATTTTTTTAGATATTTGAAAAGAAATTGTCAAAGTGTATTGATAGAACGCTATATCTGTAGATTTAAAATCCATCAAACAATATAGAAAAGAAAACAGGCCAAGATTTTACTTAGATGGTCATAGTAAGGTTTATCCATGGGCCTGAAAAGCCTTACAAGAAAGGAAGGCGCCTTAATATGCATGCTAAATCTAAAGGTTTTGTAGAAAATGCATTTACCATGTAGAGACGAAATCCGAAGTATTTTAGAATTGGTTTTCTACTTTTTTTTACAAAGTTTCCTAATGATGATATGATTGTGATGGAAAATGCATCATATCATAGTCGAAAATTTGAAAAAATTCCTTTCTCATCAAGAAAATCTGAAAATATTAAATTTATTTAAATATGAAGCGATATCAACTTTTACACCTAATTCGGCAACATAAAGATGCACATAATTTATTTGTTGTCGATGAAATGGCTAAAGAAACCAATAAAGTTGTGTAGTGGCTGCACCATATCACTGCGAGTTAAATCCCATAGAATTGATAGAGGCACAAATAAATGACGTGGCAGCTAAAAACACAACGAATCTTCTGATGTAGATTAACATATTTATTTATTCCAAATACGAAAATACATATGCAAATGAGAAACATCACAATACTAATAATCACAGTGTACGTAATTGAGCTCGAGCTTACGCTATATGAGCTCTCCAGGCCAACATAAATTATTTAGAAATATAGAAAATAACAAAAATTGAATTATAAAAAAAATATTAACATGTAGGAAGAAGAAGAATTACAAGATATCTAAAAGAACTGAGTTCTTAAGAATTTAACTTTAAACATTTATTAATTAATTAAATTAACCTTAAAGAAACCTGCAAATATTAATTTTTTTAATTGTATCGCAAAGGAAGTTGTTTGTAGACCTCGAGTACTTTGTGTTTTTTGTTTCTGTTTCAATGTAAATATCAAGATGTACTTTGTCTTTTCACTTATTTACAAAATAAAGATACTATGATAAAGATACATGTTTTTCTAACCATATTTATAAAAAAAAACTACAAAACTGTACAGTGTAGTATACAAAAATTACAACTGCTCTCATTTTTATTGTAAAATTTTAAAAGGCGCTACCTGCGGTACCTTACATACATTTCAACGATTACTTTTTTAAGCCACTCTGTATTTAATTTTTAAATAAAAATTCTTGTTCTGCAAGTTATAAGTGGTAAGAGTAGATTTGAGCAGCCGTTTTTGAAATATCTGGATTTATAAAAAGGCGTCCTTTAAATTTTAAAATAAAACTAAAAGCAGCTTTAAATGTGTCATCCCACAAACCCCTCCTAGCCAAATATTTTGAAAATCAAAGGTAGAGAGTGTTGAAAATTAATTTCTATCTCTGCTGTCTTTCCTTCGGATGTAATTCAATGCCTGTTGCGGTATTATCCAAAGGAGTAGTTGTTTTTTGAAGGGGAAACGGTCGTTGGTATTTTATGTGATATTGGCTTTGAGTTTAATTCATTTTATTTTGAAAATACACCAATTATTAAAAAATATTTGTATGAGTAAAGTTGAAAGTAACTACTTGCTGATTAAACTATAGGGCTATTATTTGTTAATCTGTCAAGTAAATCTACATGTAACTTTACTCAAAGGTGAACAGATCGACCCTAAATTGAACTTTTAACACTCGTTGCGAAATCATCCACTTTTGGACTGATGTAAGTTGGGTTAAATCGTTATATTTAAGCCTCAGGAATATGTGGTAGCATTTTTTCCACAATATTATAAATTGGTCAACATTGCTTTTTTGGTGTTCTACTCAAAAAAAATTACAACTCTATTACTAATTTTTTTTTTAAACTAAAAATTGATGAATTTCCAATCAAAATGATTAAATATACAAGTAAATTTTATTTATTTGAAAATAAACCATTTACAAAATTGTAAATTAACATTTAAAACTACAAAATATTTTGGATATATTTAAAAGTGCTATTCCCATCTGAATATATCCAAAATTTGTGGTGTTTATTCCGTATATTTTCATTACTAATATTTTTGCAAGTTTTTGTGGTCTCCAAAACTGTCATTATTTCCCTAAAAAAAATACATTGTTTTATTATTTTAAATAAATAGCTTGGTACTTAAATAGTCCAACATTTGTTTCGGCACCCTTTTTTAAACATTAAATTGCTATATGAGAAAGTGTCAAAAATGTTCTCTAGATATAATGTAAAAATTGCTCATAAATGAAACGACACAAATAAAAAGTTATTTTCAAATTTTAAATCCAAATTCAAGAAAGCAAATCAACTAAATGTAGTTTATAAAATAGACTGCAAAGATTATAACTACACTTACACATATTAAATTCTGTAAACGTCAAACATTTATTTTAATTTAATCAACTAGTTGTAAGCTATTTAACCGCCACTGGTACCTACACACTATAACAAATAAAAAGATGGATTTCGTCCATGATCATTTTAAAGTGTTTATTTCCCTTTTTTTTAATTCTAAAAAGCTGTGACTTCACCAGAAGATGAAATTTTATTCCGAAACATATGCAGTGCTGAATTAATAAAAATATAATCTACCGATCATACTAAAGACCTTTTATTTGTTTATAAAAAAATATATTAATTTGGGTGTAGGAAATCCTTCTGCTGACACAAAGTTACAAATTACCTTTTTTATAAATGATCACACAAAATTAAGATAGTAATTATCTTACCTGCAAATAAACATTTAATTTTCAAAAGACTTAAAGGATGTCTCAAAAAAAATATACCATCTGCTTTATATTGTATAAAAATATGTTTTCGAGAAGACCAAAGACATTCTAATACACAATGTGGAATTTAAAAATTATAAATCCTATCTACAAAAAAAACAGGAGAATAATAAAAACCATTATTATTATTATTATTATTATTATTATTATAATAGTAAAAGCAGGTACCATTACACTTTCTTGGACTTCTACATACATTAATAAGCTGTTGTCAACAAGTTTACACTTTCCACTGTTGAATAAGTATAACATCTTGTTAATGGCGACAAAATTCGTATAGTTGTTAGCGGTATTTATCTATACTCCCCACCATACATTCTTGAAGTCCATACACATGCGTGTCAGGATGGACGAGCGGGAGAAGGCAGACCAGCGCAGTGGGCAGTACGCGAATAGACAGTGGCAATACCACAGCAACATTGTAATTGAGAATACTTGATTGTGAATTAAACCATTGAAAAAGCAGTTTAGATCTTTTTATTAGGGATGATACATCCCTTATGTTTATATAGTTATGATCCTTGTCCATTTGATTTATTTAATTTCAAAACACTTGTCTGCATACTTATCGTATAATATACTTCAGAACTTTGCTACATTTTACCTGAAGAAAGAACCTTTATTTAATTAGGAAATCCATACAACAACTAATGGTAATCTTGTAGTTTAATTTTAAGAAAATATATTACACTTAAAATAATAAAACTATACCTATTAACCCTCCGATACCCACATAGCGTCTGACAGACGCCACTCTCATTATCAATATGCAGAACTTCTTAAAATAGTGAGACGCAGACTTCTCCTCTCATGCACCTTCCTAATATGTGTACTAGATATGTGTAGTAGAAAAAAATTCGTATAAACAAATACAAGTTCGGGCAATGCAATAATTTGCCTGTCATGTAATATCAAATTAAATAGTTATTATTGCGTTTGGGGGTTTTGTTTTTTCTTATTTTGTTGTATTGTTCTATTTATGCTAAGAAGTTATCTGTGTATTTTACGAATTTAATTTATTTTGATTATATGTTTAAAAATGTAAATGCTGTTATATTTATTACATATTTTATTTTACTGTTGTTAAGAATTTTTGTTTAGGGTAAAGCATAAAAACATATATCAGTAATATGTAAATTAGTTAAATAAAACCAGCATATATGTTCATTCCATTCTTATGATTTAATTGAATGTCATCTCACAGACACCACGCGGGTACTCTTGTTTCGAAATTGGACACGGTTGACCGAGGGTTAAGAAATATAAAAATAAACATTATTTTTTTGTACCTGCCAAAATTCTGCATTTTAAATAAGCTCTTCTTTAACTACATATTTTTCAGTTCCTCCTAAATATGTTTTGTAGGTAGGTAGGTAATAATAAGTGCTTAATTTCCATCATCAAATTGAAATACCTACCATTTACTTTCTTTTCTGTTATTATAATAAATATAATATAATTTTCTAATCACAGTTACATATAAAACAATGAATAAAATATCGAATTAGAACTCTATGTTAAACTCAAAATGTAAAATAATATTTTGTATTTTGTTGGGCGACATTTAACTCAATTTTGACATTAGTGACATTTAGTCACTGCTTGGACGAGTCTCTTCCCGATCCCATCATACTGGTGCGAGCTGTGATATGAGACGAAGTAATGAAAAAATAAAAGTACAACTAAAGTACAATAATTATAATTCAAAAACGGAATAAGCACAATTTAGTGTCACCTTTATTCGTTGGTTATCTAAAACTTTGACTTCAATGCATTCATAACAAAGTTTTGAAATGTTTTTCTTGAAATGATACAAGACAAATTCAAATTTACCGCTAAAATGATATCTAGTTATTTTTTTAGTTATTTTTCCCTGTGTAAATAGGACTTTTCAATTCGCTCCTCCTAGTTTAAAAACAGAGTATAGTAACTTTTAAAAAGGTACTCATGAAGAATGATGTTGAAAATTTTAAAAATTAAAACTCACCAATATCGACTTTTCCTAAGCCCTCTAAATTAAATTAAAAAGTTATATACATTTTAGAGCTTAGATCTTCAATACGAGTATACGTCATGATTATGTCAACATCATACAATAGCAATATCGGGGTGGGGTGTAGAAGTTGTTGGAAAATGTTTTGATTATGGATTGTAATTGGGAAATGAAAATGTCAAGAAGTGTTCAGATTTTAACATTTTTCTTTATATTCACCTAATAAATTAACATCTGTATACGAAATTAATTATTTTATTTATTTAAAATGTTTAATTTCATACAGCGTTCCAATTTCGTATCTAGTTCGATGTGTAAATTATAATAATAAAAATGCTGACTTAATCAAAAATAAACTATTTGCAAAACATTGAACGAGGTCGAAATTGGAATAATATGTTTTGAATGTGTATTTAAATTATTAAATAATTGTAATTGTTATTTTTTATTGTTATTGTTTCTGATATTATAAATGAAGATACAAATGAGAAATAAAGAGAATTGACTAAGAACATGTGGTAATTTACTTTACAAAATTATCTCTGAAATGAGATCCATGAAAACCATCTTGTGGTATTAATTACAACAATCGACCGGAAGTCCCTTGGATAGTTGTCGAATTCGCTTGATACGAGCTTCGATTTGTTTTTAAAGCGGTTGCTTCTTGGGTGTGTAGAACTTCATACGAACGGAAGTCCTTTGCTTCTTGAGTGTGTAGAACTTCAATAGAACGAAAGTCCCTTGGTCGTATAGTTGTCGAATTTGCTTTATACGAGCTTCGATTTGTTTTTAAAGCGGTTGCTTCTTGGGTGTGTAGAACTTCAATCGAACGGAAGTCCTTTGCTTCTTGGGTGTGTAGAACTTCAATCGGAAGTCCTTTGGTTGAATGGTTGTCTAATTCGCTTGATACGAGCTTCTATTTCGTTTTAAAGCGGTTGCTTTTGGGTATGTAGAACTTCAATCGAACGGAAGTCCCTTGGATAATCCGGCTCGAAGGACCATGAATAGATTTCAAAGCTTAATTGTTGTAATTAATACCACAAGATGGTTTTGGAAAAAATGAGACAGTAAAATAGATTGGACCAATTTCATTTATTATAAATGAACCACCAAAAAGAAAAAAATGTTAATTTCAAATTTAAAATGTATCTTTTGTTTGATCCATTTCTTTTTTTAATATTGTGTATTTTTAAATTTCGAACTGCAAATGCATATGTTTCCTGAAATGCTATACTTCAAATGAAAGAAAACTGAAAAAAATTGTGTACCCATTAGAAGTTTTAGACCTAAAAGAAATCATTTTGCAAATTTTCAGACCAGAACATTTTTTAACGGATATCATTAGTAAGTCCCAAACGTTTGACTTGGGACACATAGTATTGCATATCTATGAATTCAACTCTGAGATCTCTATACACATTTTGTAATGGTGTATAAGCTGTTCTATTAAAAAAAAAATACAAGTTTATATGTGGCAGTCAAATAATTCGTTATATAAATTAAAAGGATATTTTAATATGAATGATTTTTGTCTGAGGGTTTTTTCATAGCTGCTATTCTATACAGGGGTAATAGAAATTACATTTTAAATCTAGTCGCACTTTAATCAATTAGTTTTATATTACAATCATTAGTTCATTTTGAAACAACTTATCATTTTATTATATTGCATTGTTATATACCTATATATTCTTTTTTAATGTCCAAATTTAGTATAGACTTCAAATTAATAATAATTTTTTATTTTCTTCCTTTGGAATACCCGGAATTTCGAAGAAAGTCCAAAAAAGTCAATCGGAATTAAATAATTTAACGTTAAATTGGAAATGTTTGAAAATTACCTACACTTTAAAAAGTTTCTCCTTTTTAATATTGAACTCAGAATTGTTATCAAATGAAATACTAACCGTCACAATTGTATGTAAAATGTCTACATAGTTGGTCTCGGTTTGAAGCAACTCCAAAAACACCTGATGCCTTTGTGTCAATCCCTTTCTAGGAGTATCAATAACTGGCTCTGTGCCATCTAATATCTCCTTACTAGGACTCGTTGTGCAGTCCAAAAATGACCCCGAGACAGACAATAATCCAGCATCGCTGACGGAAGATCTTCTTTTAGTAAGAGCAGGCGATTGGGGGTGCACCAGTGAAGAAAGAAGTAATTTTCTTTTCCGCCGTCTAGCGGCACTTCCTGGCGTGGCACTTGAATCTCTGCGACCTGACGGCGATAATACTTGATCCAAGTACTAAAGGAACGAAGAAGAATCAACAATCGAATAGTAGATACATTTATTTCTTCGCAAAAAAATTTCACTATAGAAATAAATGTTTTTTATTTGTGTATATATTTTACCAATAACATTCTATTAAAACAAAATATATTAAAAATTATTTCACTTCAAGATTCAGCCTGTCGCTGATTGTATGCAAGGCAGGTAAATCAGAATGATAAGCTACATAAAATGACAGTAAATATTTGAGATAAAGCAAGTTGCAAATAAAAATTAGTCTACTGCTTTCGAATGAGCAATATTTCAGTTGTGGTTCGTCTTTTTCAAAAAACAAATATTTAATCTTACCACGAATATCGATTTTTATCGACTTATATGTCCTATTTAAAAAGCTTTCTCTGTTAAATCAAACATCACAAATCAGGTAAACTTTACAAGTGACTATATTAAAAAAAAACAATGCCCGTTTTACATTTTAGAATGTTAGCAACATCTTCCTAGTTAAGTATCCTGTCCTATAAAATAATTTTAGGAAACTGAATAAGTTAAAAACTAAACTATGTTCATGTAAAATATAAAACTATAACAACAAATTGTTCCTAGATATTTATATGGATTTGCCACTGTCTCTACTTCTACTAAACCTGGCCTATCCAAGATTTAAACGGATCTAGTAAAATGGAGATCTAGAGCACACTTATCCTTAAGAAAGTCATGAACGTGTCATCAAATATTATTACATTTTTTATTAATTGATCCATGCACTATGTAAATTAATTAACATTTAGTAAAAACAGTATGCACGATGATATTTTGGGCAAGAAGACGGAACAGATACTTCAGTTACTTTTTTTATGATCCACCCCTTATAAATAAAGTATAGTAAACATAAAAACAATATATTTTATTATTCAATCTGTACATTGCATTACCTAATTTAAAAATCTCACGACACAAAATTACATAATAATAATAAGTTTAAATCAAAGCGAACCCTGACAGTTGCAGGAATGCAGTTTAACGTATTTCAAAGTTCCAAGAAAAACATTATCTGCAGCATAGCTAACCGCGCAAAATATAGTTTTCTCACTTATGGAAAATTTTAAGTAAATAAATACCAACTCTCTTCCAGTCGCGGATCTGTTTCGCTTGCACATTTAAAATAAATCGTTAAAAATAAATATATATACGCTTATTCAATAGTTACAATACTCGCTCTATCTCTGTCAACACTAATTGGGTGACATCACACGCCTCTTTCTCAAAAACCAATCACAAGACAGTGTCAAACTTACGATTTTTTCTCTAGACCAATCACAACAGTATCTCACAAACGCTTTCACGTAACCAGACAAGACCAGACAGATCTCAGCCAAGTCCTTATATGGCGTGAATTTAGAGATGGGTAGTAACAAATCCGTAAATGTACATAACAGTTACAGATTTGCTACTGTCCTTTGCAACACCGGAACCACCTGGAACTTTAGAGGAGTTATAACAGAACTTCGATTTTCGTTCTAGAACGACTCAGCAGAGTCGAATTTGGCTGAGAACTGTTTATAAATACGGTTAGTTATGCTAAACTAAAAACTAAATAAATAAATTCAAAATATTTTATTTTAAAGAATGTTTTCCACATATGTGGATCATGGTACCAAATTATAATATAAATAAATACTTACATCATCAAAAAGATACTCTTTCTCCGGCAAACTCGTCTCCTTTTGTACTGAAGTCCAGAACCATTCTGCCTTAACGATCCATACTTTGGATGGCGCCTCCGGCCTTTCGGTCACCGTTGATTCGTCCACGACCTAAATTATGGAGAATTTAGAATATATAAGAATCAATTTTTTTAAAACCTTCATTGGATGATACATTCTAGATGACAGACAGGCTGGCAAATCTAATTTCTACAAGTTCAAAAAGCACATAAAATCTTATATCGTGTATGAAAAACAAAAAGCATAAGATGAAGTTTTAGGATGCTCTTTGAAGACTTTCACAAAATTGCATATTATTATATTTTAATTTGAAAAAACTATGCAATTCTGGTTAGGATGAAAATTTTCTTTGCGGAATAAATACAATTTTCGTTCATTAGATTGTTATAAAATAACCTAATTTATTAAATTAATAACAGTACAATTATAATTTAACAAGTTGAAATAGGCATCGACATTGAAAGTTCAAGTCGAAACTAGTTTTTTTGGTCCGATTCACAAGGTAAATAAGGACCAGGAAATATCTAAATATTTCTTATGACAGAATAGTAATACTAGTTGCCCAAATCGTAAAAGGTAGATGGACCAATAAAATAATTCTAGCTCTCAAAACAATGTAATGTACTTAGTCATAACATTCAGAACTATTTCAAAATACAACTTTAAATATTTACAGATTTGTAAATACTTAAAGATAGACGTCAACGTCAAGTTTGGAGAAAGTAGAGTTGGGCGATCGTAAAGCGTTACTAAATAACTGATATTTAAATCACTAATCGTGAAATATTACCAACTTTATTAGAGATTTATTAAAATTTAGTGATCTGTAAACTTATAGATAAGTTTGTGGTTAACTTTTTTTCTTTAATTATTTCAAAATGCTGCTCCTTATTTCATGTAATAATACTCTAATAGCGAATTACATTATTTTTCCTCATTATGCTAATTTAGGGTTGAACTGTTATGACCAGGCATCTGGATTGAATATATTTTGCACCATACTCTTAACAATTCACAACAAAACATCCGCAAAAAGTGTGATATATGCAAACAACTTCAATAGGAAAGTTTCTTAACTTATTTTGGATCAATTTCTACAGATCGATTCCACTAATTCCTTTGTTAGACTTTCTGTCTCCTACCAGCTCATGTATCTTGTCAGATTGTTCGTCAAAATTCTCGTGTTATGTGGCATACTATATTCTTTTTTTTTAATGTTTCCAAATTTGGCAATAAAAGGACAAAATGCCAGTTTCTTTTGGTTGAATATTTTAGTTGGGAAAAAGTAATATTTAAAAAAAGTCATATTTATACATGTATTATATTTCACATTTTTAAAAAGAAAAACCACTCTTTTGGATGTCTAATTTAACATGAACAGTGTTATTGAAATACATGTAAATATATAAAAGATTAATATTTAACCTTTCCTAGAATTTGCAAAAAATAACTTTAATTTAAAAAGTTATTTAATTTTGAAAATGTATGTTGAATCAGAGGTATTGTATACTAATATTATACTGATGGATATGATTTTAGTGTACGAGGTTATTGGAAAAAATGATTGTCAAACACAGATTCTCTAAAGCAAACAATTTCCTGGCTGTCGAACGTTTGTAGCAACTATCCAGCATTTAAAAGATTTAAGTATGATTCCGATAAAAGTATGACATGCAGTCAAAGAACACTGAAGGCAGAATAATAAGCACTAATGGTCGTTAAAATTAGGCATGAAAAAACTGTAGACCAATCAGCCTTACATCCTTTGTATTAAAAGTTATGGATAAGGCTGTTCAAAATTATATCAGAACAGAAATCCTGAAGAGAGTGCCAAAAAATGTTCACAAAACAACACATAGTTGTGCTTGCAACCGAAAGACAAGCCATTCAACCATAGAAGGAACTGGAATAGAAATGTATGGACCTAGAACTAAGCACTCTAAAAGTTTGGGTAAATACCTAAGCATCTTTCAGGCGGAAATTCACACCATTGAGAAGTGAATCCAGTTAAACATTGAGAGAAACTATCGCAACAAGAGATTATCATCATGTCCGATAACCAAGCAGCCATCAAAACGTAATTAGCTCAAAAATGGTCTGGAGAAACTGAATGAATTACTTTCACTTGGGTCACGGGATATAACAAGGTAAAGGGTAACCAGATTGCATATAATCTCACAAAGAAAGGGGCTCAAACACCCTTTGTGGGACCTGAGCCGGTGTCAGTAGTAACACAATATTAGAAGAGATTAAAAAGGAATTGGGTAGTAGAAGAACCGATAATTGGAACGATATATCTTGAGGCTAAGATACTTCTGGGTGAATATAATCAAAAAAGATGGGAAGCCTGTATCTACCTAAGCAAGAACAGGCTACGTAATGTAACAGGGATCCTTACCGGGCACTGCCGACTGAAACGACATCTTAGTAAAGTGAGAGTAGAAGAAAGTGCGTACGGAGATTCTGTGAGGAAGAAGATGAAATCTACGTTAGTATTTTGATTGAATATGTAGCACTCCAAAATCCAAGGTTACTATTCTTAGAAGCATATCAAATAGAAGTGGATGATCTTAACTTGATAAGTAGATATAGCGTTTAGACCACTTTTCAAACTGCACATTCGCGGCAATAGCTCTGAAGTTGGCTAACCTAACCTGATGGCAGATGTCAAAAACCTGTATAACCTAATGCACATGCCATTTTCTATTCCTACCATTTTTTATCAAACGCGTCAACAGAGTTGCCAACTTAACCTAACATGTTAACTGCCAAAGACCTGTCAACAGAGTTGCTAACCTAACATATGTCAACTATCATCTGTCGAGAACCTAACATCACGCCATGAGTTTGAAGAGAAACCCAAGTTGCTCGAGAGTTCATTTTCGCGTTTTAATAGAGATTTGGAATGTTATCTGCCGCGTTCGATATGACTGAGTATGGACTAGGAGTGCGCTCTTATAACTCTGTGTTAAAAGACCGAGATGTATCCGGAAGTTAAATAATGAAATATTAATTATGGCAATGAACAGCACATAATATTGTTCTGTGGGTTTGTGCTAGGTATTAATTGTATTTTAAAATTATTTAACACATATAGATTATTATAAGTAAATTGTGAAAGTTTATTTTATATTATTATAATATTATTATTGTAAAGCATGATAATTAACTGAACATTGACTGGCATACTATGGATTGAGGTTATGATTTTAACTCTGAATGTCAGAGCGCGTTCGAGATGTTACTACATTCCCTCTCAGGTTTGACACCACTTTGCTCTACTCACTCCAAAGGGTATCATCTCGAACTTGCCCACGTAAAAATAATCTACTTCCAAAAGTCACTGCTAGATGACGCCACCTGTCAAGTAGTTTGCTACTCAAATTAGCTATCCAAGATGGCGGCCATCGTTAACGTAAACAAGTATAGATTAACTTTGAAGAAGGCTTATAACCTATAAAGATAAAAACCTTTGAAGAAAAAAATAATGCGCAGTGGCAATGTCAAAAGGACCTAAGTTCATATCTTCATTGCTATTGGTTCCATTTAAACGGGAAAAACGGCGTTGTGAAGAAGACGTGACATAGATTAACTATGAAGAGAAAAATCATGCGCAATGACGATGTCAAAAGGATCTAATTCTATATCTCAAACGAGAAAAACGGCACTATAAACAAGACGCAACATAGATTAACGCTGAAGAGAAAAATCGTGGTAATGACAAAAGGACCTAAATGTATATTTCCGCTGCTATTGGTCCAATTCAAATGGGAAAAATGACGTTGTAAAGGAGACGTGACGCTGAAGAGAAAAATGTGCAGTAGCAAAGCCAAAAAGGACTTAAATCTATATCTTCATTGATATTGGTACAATTTGCATGGAACAAACGGCGTTATAAAAGAAACATAACGAAGAATAATGCTCAAAAGAAAAAGCATGCGCAGTAGCAATGTCAAAGGGGCCTAAATGTATATCTTCGTTGTTATTGGTCCAATTCAAACGGAAAAACGGCGTTGTGAAGGAGCGCATGACTTTTCAATGTTAATCTATCACACGTCTACCTCATAGCGCCGTTTGTCCTGTTTATGTTTAGTAATAGCGGAGATATAGACTTGTGTCCTTTTAGCTTTGCCACTACGCGTTATTCTACATGTAATTCCCCTCACTCCCCCGTTTTCCCGGTTGAATCGGATTAATAACAGTCTTAGGTCTTTGCCACTTTGTGCCCATTATTTTTTTCTTCAACGTTAATCTATGTGTTTTTCACAAATGCTGTTTTTCCCGTTTGATTTTCTTCAATAACAGCATAGATATAGATATATGTGTTTTCCATTTGAATTAGACCAATAACAGCGGAGATATACACTTAGGTCCTTTTTACACTGCTACTACGTATATTTTTTCTCTACAGCGTAACCTTCGTCACGTTTCCCTCATAGCGCCGTTTGTTCCATGTAAATCGAACCAATAGCAATGAAGATATAAACTTAGGACCTTTTGACTTTGCTACTGCACATATGTTTTCTCTTTAGCATTAATTTATGTCACGTTTCCTTTACATCGTCATTTTTCCCGTTTGAATTGGACCAATACCAGCAGAGATATACACTTAGGGCCTTTTGACATTACAACTGCGCATGATTTTTCTCTTCAGCGTTAAACTATGTTGCGTCTTCTTCATAACGCCGTTTTTCCCGTTTAAATCGGACCAATAGCAATGGAGATATAGACTTAGGTCCTTTTGACATTGCCACTGTGCATGAATTTTTTCTTCAAAGTTAATCTATACTTGTTTACGTAAAGCCGCCATCCTGGATCGCTTAGCAGAATCGCAAATGACTTGACTTGTGACGCCACCTAGTGGTGCCTTTTAGAAGTAGATTACTGTTACGTGAGGTTAAGTTCTCGACAGATGATAGTTGACAGATATGTTAGGTACCAGTGCACTAATACCCCATACCAAACATAAGCTGTAGAAAACTTGCGAAAGCCGAAGAAAAAACAATTGCAGATATCCGACAGAATCTTTTATTTCATTTCTAGAGTTCTTTACACAACAAGCAATAGCCTTAATATTAAAGTACGCCATTTTGAACAATTTCTCTAGTGTAAATCTTATAGTTTTCGGTATTTAAATATCGTTTTATTTTCTTTAAAAGTTTCTAAAATATTCATAAGGCATTTTCGTGTTTTTATCTGACTACAGATTGATTTTTTTAGCAAGTTTCACTTGGGTTAAGTTTTAAATAAAAAATATTTCCTATAAATTTTGTAAAGAACCAACAATAGCGCTATAATACGTATAGTTTCTACCAAACTAGTAGAAAAATTATCAGAAAAGGGTAAAATTGAGCCATTTTGGAATAAAATGCTAAAACTGGTGCCATTCATTTTTGGACATCAAACAGTCTTGTTCACTTTTACTATATTTAATGTATTTCAATAACAGATCATTTATTTAAAAAACTCTATTAAATGAAGTACCATATTAAAATGAACGTCTAGTCTTCAACTGATTTAAGCGAATTTGTATTATTCCATCAAAGAAAATTTTCATATTTAACATTTAACAGTGAAATGAAGTTAGTACCGCAACAGCAGACACAGAAGTTCTCGTCGATGCCCTGGTATGTTCACTGCTAAGCTCATAATTGTTAGTGGTAATAGGATTCAGGGAAATATCGGGAAAACAGGTGGCGTTCAACTTTTCCCTACCGTCAATTTCATTGACTTCACCAAACGACAATTTGGTTGCGTTCAAATCGTTAGTTTTCTTTGTCCTCCTGAATTTCGAAGAACTGAAAGTTCGAGTGAACAAATTTTTTTTGGGACGTTTAACTACCCCCTGCGGCGTCATTTCTTTGTCGTTGAAAAAGCTTAAATTTTGAACAACGTCTACATTAAAAATACCCGAACTCGATATTACACTCTCGCTTAAACTTTGATTAATAAAAGACGAAGCATCAATTGTTCTTCTACGATTGGAAAAATAGTTAATGGGAGTTTTGAAAAACTCGGATACTTTCTTTTTTCTCTCGCTATAACTTTTGTCTCTTTTTCGTTTAACTAAAATACTCGATTGTTCGGGAGAATTAAATTTTCTCTTTCTTTTTTGAGGGGTTAAATTCGGATCAAAAGACTGATCAAAGCAAATACTATCCATGCAATCGATATTATCATCATGAGAATTTTCATGTAAAGTTTCTAGACATGCATTACTTTGATTCGCTTTGAAACAATTACTAAAAGATAAATTATTAGTGCCGTTGTGATATGATGGGGTTTTGGGAGTTTTAGATTTGCCGGATGGAGAGGAGGTTTGGTAAGTAGGTGCATCAGGACCAAATTTGGAGGATCTGGGGGACAATGGTGCGCTAGCAGCTTCTAATGTGTAGATTTCAGCATGTTCCATTACCTAAAACCCATTACTTTGCTAGTTTACGTTTCTTAGTAAGTTAGTTTTTGAAGTTTAAGCTCAATTTAGAGAAAATAAGCAAAATTTGAAAACCCCAAAAATATCTAAATTAACCAAAGATTGGAATTTTTCATTTCGATTAAATTATATTTTAATTAATTCAATTTACAGAACCGTTATCTAAGGAAAATAAAATTAACTAACTTTTTACTTATAACACTGGTAAACACTGTTTTTGTCACACGAATTCTGTGATGATTTTTGTTTATGTTGGTGTACCCTCATTAACAATATACAGGGTGATTCATAAGTACTTTGACAAACTTCAGGAAATGATTCTTTGAGTAATTTTAAGGTAAAAAGTTCATATAAACATGTGTCCGGAAATGGATGGTTTTCAAGATACAGGGTGATAAAATTTTAAGAAAAAAACAATCGTTTTTTTATCATCTTTCATACCACTGAAGATAATTTAATGAAATTTGGTACACGTTGTTTTACCATAAAGTGACATTTTTTGATGCTATTAACTTTTTTTTATTTTCATCAGTGGCGTCCCTACGGTATTTAAACTAAATATTATTGAAGAAAAAAATGGTATTTTTAAAATCTACTTTTAATTTGGAACAAATTTGATCTCTTGACTTTTGTTCGTAAGGCGCACCGTTTTCGCGTGTAGTATGAATTATAATTTAAAATCTTCTACTTGTCTTCGTTAATGTATTTTTATACTTACAATTGCAAATTATTACAAAATGGTATTTGAAGGTCACATAAAATGCCAAAATAAACCAGTTTTTGTTTTGGTTTGAAAAAGATTGAATGAGTTGAGGTTGGGTGGAATTTTACTCTAATAGGGAACATTTTTTTCTATATTATGGTTAGATGTTGGATTTTGGATTGATCGCTGATGGTTAATTAATACTTGAGTTTTACGCTGTTAAGTTTAATTCACTTTTATATAATGATGTCAAATTATGAATAGGACATGAACAACTGAAGATTATTGTGTTCAAAATGAGAGAATGAACAAAAATTAAAAATTCTTGGATGAAATGTTCTGAAATACAGTATGTTAAGTTGAAAATTACAAAATTAATAATGCGTGAATATATAGGTAGTTATATTTTTATTATTCAATATAATTTTACTAAAATCGGCACTGACAAAATTTAACTAACATATAAACATAAACACGTTTAGTGAAATTATACTAAGTAATAAAAACATTTAAGCCACTAATTCTCAGTTTGTAACTTTTAACACCATTTGAAAAAGAGTAACATTTTATGGTAGCGGAGAATCAGTAGCACATTTTCGAAAGGCAAAATTACAAATTTTTCATTTATTTTTTTTATGCATGGAAATACTTTGCTGCACCCTGCAGTGATGAAGCGCTCAACAGACGCGTTTTAAAAAAAGAAATTATAGAAAATGCGAATGTTACATATTTAATTAGATAATTAACGTTGACATAAACCTTCATGGCTCAGGACATTAAGTGCTTAACTTTGGATTTCGTGAACCGTTATCAAAATACTACAAAATTTAGCAGAAAGATTGCATTAATTGTAGGGGTTATATTATGATAAATAAATTGTATTTAAAATAAATAAACAGCATTAGTCGTATTTTTCATATTTATTCCAATGTTTTTATCTGTAATTGAATCCAGGTTGGTAAATCCAAACTTGAACGCTTAACGACCTAAGCCTTGAAGGCACTTATGTCAAGTTAATTATCTAATCAAATATGTGACATGGCTTTTTAAAATACCATCATTGTGCGCTCCACTGCTGGTGTGTCCATCTTCTACAAGAAAAAAAAAGAAGGAAACATTTGTAAAGTTACCTTGCACAAATGTGTACCAAAAAAGGATAACTGTTTAATCGTCTCATTATTTGAACTCTAAGCGCCAGCATGGGAAATATATGTTAAAGTTAGTTTTAAGAACTTTTAACATTCAAATAAACAAAAACAAATTATAAGGGTCGGTCTTTTCACCTTCAGATAAAGTTCCAGTTAACCAACCAACAGATATATTATCTAAGAGTTACTATCTGACAGATAATTTGGATTCCGTCTTTTTAAGAGAAATAATCTTTAGAGTAACTACCTCACATACTTTGATTTTCTTTTACTATACGGAGAATGGTCGCACTGCGCAGCTTTCTGAGTGCCTTTTAAAAGGAGATAGAAAACTCCGCCATTTTGATCCCTTATTACGTGTTGCCTACATCTTGGCGCAATATTTTTAATAGGTGCGTTTTAATCATCCGCTTCTGCTTCGGAATTGTCGGTTTTCTTGTTTTAATCTGACAGGTTAAAACGACTAAACCGACAATTCCGGAAGCAGAAGCGAATGATTAATACGCACCTGATATTTTGCATGCTGCTGTCAGTGTCAGTGAATATTATTTTTGAAGTCACAGTTTATTGCTAAAGAATCAGTTAGCTCACTCGGACCAGTTGAAAGTTCCAAAATAACATCCACTCCAGGGATACAAATTCAGGATACACAGAAGACTGCTGTTTTATTATAGGCGGTTGTCATATATTGTATTATCCGAGTTGCGCAGTGTATAAACTGAAACATTGAGATCATAAGTGCCGAAGCAGAGTGAGCGATCCGATTCTTTAGCTATAAACTCTGGCATAGGAATCAAAATGGCTGCGCCCTATGTTGGGCGTGTCGGACCTCTCTCTTGCACCGTATAGTAAATAAAGTATGTGAACTACCTTCATATCAAGGTATTTATGCATGCGATATGTCACTCCCACATGTTGTTATTTCGTTCTGTCACTTACTTGGAAGAAGTTTTTGTATTTTTCTGAAATTATTTATTATTAAAAACTCCATAAAGCAAAAAATAAAAGATTGACTAACTTTAAATAACCAAGAGGATGCTTGAAACAAAGAGTAGTACTGCAAAATAAAAAACTGATTCTGGAGTCTGTTGTATTGTAATTAACATACATTTTTTATTTTATTGAATTGAATTTTTAAAGTGTGTTTTTTTTATTGTGTCTTCAACAACGTCCATAAAAGCACAAATAATATGTTGGCTCCTTGTTGGCTCGTATCACCTCATGCATCACATATCATTGTCATATACCTACATACTTATCCATCAGTTAACTGGTTTATCAGGAAGTTCAGAGGTAAGATAAGTTATCTTTCAGATTAGACCAATTTATCTTTCAGTTAGTTTAATCTAGTGGTGAAAAGATGACTTTCAATTACCTGACGCTTTATTTGAAGGTGAAAAGACCGACCCTAAATCTATTATTAAAATCCGTGTTGGAACAAAACATGTAAAATTGTTGAATTTGAAAGATAATATTCTAAAAAGGAAAAAGACTTCGGTCGAGAGCCTATTGGACTGAATATTCAGTTCAATCAATGACAAATATTATTATTAGTATTACTATTCTAAGGGTCGGTCTTTTCACCTTCAGATAAAGTTCCAGTTAACCAACCAACGGATATATTATCCGAGTGTTACTATCTGACAGATAATTAGGTTTCCGCCTTTTCAAGAGAAATAATCTATAGGGTAGTTATCTGGTACTTTTTAACGTTCTGTGGTCATATAACTACCTTCATATCAATGCCATATGTCACTCTCACTGTCCCTTGTTGTCATTATTTCGTTCTGTCACAAATTTGAAAAAAGTTTTTGTATTTTTCTGAAAATATTTGTTATTTATAATTCCATAGAGCAAGTGACAACAAAAAGAGATTGACCAACATTCAATAAGCAAGAGATTGCTTGAAACACAAAGCAGTACTTAAAAATAAAAAACTGATTCTGCGGTATGTTGTATTATAATTAACACAGTGTTAGGGAACGACTGGCAGAATTTAGCGGACCGATGAGCGGCCTGTCCTCATCGGGTTGATAAGAAAAAAATTCTTGGGAAGATTGGTAATTGATTATTTTGTACTGAAGTAAAACGTTGTGTTAAAAATATAAAAGTGTTGAATATTTTCAACTGCGTTGTTTTATTTTTGAAAAGGACATTACAAGAGATTGTTCATTTGATTAAATTGAATTTTTCAAAGGTGTAGTTTTTTTATTGTGTACTTGTGAATATTGATGCGAATGGCATTAGTTTGCACTAAAAAGGCTGTTTCTTTTTATAACTGATGTTAGAGATACCATATATTGGGTCTAGAAAAACACACGGTCTTCCGAACAATTTTATAATTAACAATTACCACTAAATATGAATACTTATTCACATTCAAATACACAATAATATGCCAAAAATATCTACAAGTCACACCATATATGTATGAATCTTCCTTTGTTCCTTATCGGCTATATGAATCATCGATCACGCAATTTGTTAATTCGACAGTATACGGGGTGTCGCTAAGCTATTTATTTAATACTATTTTTATACGAAACAAATAGGCAAACCACTATTTACAAAAAAAAAATATTCAACAACGTACATAAAAGCAAATAAAATAATATGTTGACTCGTATCACACATTATTATGTCATATACCTACTTATCCATCAGTTAACTACTTTATTAGGAAGTTCAGAGGTAAGATAGGTTATCGTTCAGATTAGACCGATTTATCTACCGTTTAGCTTTATCCAAAAGTGAAAAGATGACTTTTTAAGTTATCTGGGAGATAACAATTACCAAACACTTTATCTGAAGGTGAAAAGACCAACCCTTAAATATTTTATTAATATTTAATTTGCTTGTAAATTTATGTGTAAATATATTTATAAATTAGACTGGTCAACAGTGATTTGTGGACGGGGGTTTAAGAGCGTTTTTGGGCGATCGTTTTACCGATTTGAAATGTAACTCACGGTAAGGTTACAAGTATTTCCATGTTTTCTCAGTTAGCGATTTTATTTACCTTAGAAAGTTATGTGCTGTATAATCAACACAGTTGGATGAATTAACACTGTTTTCGAAAGAAAAATTCCGATCTTGGTAATATAATAAATAATATGAAAATGGTAAAAATT